TTTCGAACCACTCCGGTTGTATCCAAACACATGACACACGAGATATTCTTCATGAGCTTACTTCTTCTCCCGAATACCGAACACATGCAGCGTCCGCATGGTATCGTTTCCGCTCCGCACTTGGTCCCCTCATAGGGTTCAATGACTGACGAGGAGCAAAGTACGATGCGGCGACTGCCATTCTTGCACAACGGCGTCAGAAATGCCTCGGGATCTCTCGCTGGAACAACATTTTCAATTCGCCCGACGTCAACTACGAATCAGCCTCCCGTTTCTGACCGAGATGTCGTTCGTTTGATCACGTCGAGGGCAATAAGAAAGCCAGTGAAGACAACTATCAGCTGTAGTTAAAGTTAGTCCATTGAACCATGAATAAGACTTCGGTACTCGTAGGCAACATACCACGAACGACACTCCTGCCAAAACAATGATTTCGAACCCTCCAGTCAATGCTTTCCCTCTGATCATGGCATGTTGTAGCCTCCAGGCACGACTTGTTCCCATGATAACTGTGCACATGGCAAATGCGTAACAGAAGGTCGCCAGCGGCCTGCCTACGTTGGTATAGCCGAAGCCCGAGTCCTGATCTTCGAGGACGAACAGCTGCGCAACCAGGGTGCCGGTCATGGCGGCCATCAGGGCAGTCCTAAGATACGCCAAGAATGTTCTTTCAACGGCTTCACGTGGCAAAAAAAAATTGAGTCAGCTGCTGTCTTCTGGGAGATGATGTGGCGGGGATAAGGGTTGACGGCAAAGAGGCATAAATAAATTCGGATGCCGCCTCCGTGCCAAATCCGGCCAGCCCGCAAAGTAAGGTGGTTCGAGGTTCCGAATCACCAGACTTGACAGAGTTGAAGGAATTAAGAACGAAGACACGACAAAAGGTCCGCAAACAACAAGTATAATGAAGACACATTTGTTCCAAGCCACGGAGACACAGTTCCGGCGTCAGATATACACCGACAGGGCCAGGTGTGGTTCGGTGAGGGGTGCGAGTGTGTGCGGGGAGTGGAGCGCTCGCATGGGAAAGTAGACGTTGCCTTGCAGCAGCCAGTTTGGGGCCCGCTCGCGGAGACAGGTCGAGATGGTCAATAATCCGGCAAGGTCAGGGTTCTAGAAAGACGCGCACTTGCAGCCGGAACGAGGCAAGTCTACGAGCAGAGCATGCAAGTGTACCGAAGCAGCAACATGTTGCAGGTCCGCTTGGAGAAACTTGCGTTGTATCTGTACACGCCCCCTCCCCCAGCTCCCCATGTGCGTGCGGAATACAACGTCGGCCGTACTGGTAAACGGAGAGGGTTGCGGATGAGTCTTCCGGAGCGATCTGGGGGGCAGTTGATGCGCTTACCAGGAACAGGGAACAACCGAAACGCATATCTGGACCTAGAAACGGTAGGAAACGTCTGCAACATACCTAAATGATCGCGACATTTATCAAAATCGACAACACAGCTGACGTGCTGAGACCAAAACTGTTTGAGAGAAAAGGGCGCGATGTGAGGGTCTGAAGTTGTGACTCTCAGGTTGGCTGTTGCTTGAGAGGAATGTGAGCCTGGTCGAATCTAGAAACCAGTCAGTCCGGTGATGAGGGTCGGAGTGGAGGAGCGTAGCAACTACCAACGAACCTCTGAGAGCTCGTAGAACTCGTGATTCCGCCTGGCAGCCATGTCCTGAAATGAAGGTCGGCTTGTGTTTGAAAGAACCGACCAAAGGTCGTATTCAGGTGGTGAGACCTCGGAGAATAAAATAAGAATGCAGTCGGAGGATGCGCCGCGGTGGCAAAGCGCCCTCGCTCTGCAGGGTGCTTGTCGAACCTCTACTCGGACAATTCTACCACTTCTGTAGGGCAACCGGTAATTCGAGTCCTTTCTCCGCAAGGGCGACGGGGTCTGCGGGCCTGGTCTAGGAGGTGTACTCTTTCGAGCCCCTGAACCGCTGGATATCGTCTCTCAACGCACGTGTTAATTAATGATGGCGTTTGGATGAAGTTGGGATCAAGCGGTACACGGGTGGATTGATCGGAAGCAGGACCGAAGATACGACTGAGAACGTGTCGCTTCGAGCAATGCTAGACGCAAATATACGACTGGATGTGAAACTGAGACTGCAGG